ATAGTGAATATTCAGGGCAATATGCCTTTGAATAAGGGTTAACTGTTAACTAGAATATGCATTTTGACACACTATCCTAGATTTGGCATTTTGGGTTGAAGATTGAACAAGAGCTTCAGTCTTAGATAGTAGCTCGCACACTTTCACTCTAACCGAACAACCTAAACAGTTTCTGGCAAATGTTTTGTCTCTAAAACGAGTCTAACCACTCCAAAAATATTTAGTGTAATAATTATTCTAAGTACCAATTGTAATATTCTACAATAATATTTAGTTTTATTTTCTTACAATTATAATGAAATTAAACACGTTATTGCAGTGTTAAGTACATCTCTCCACTTCGAAGAACAGCTACCATGCTATCATGTATAATTAATATTCCTTAATACAAAACATCTACGAACTACACTTACCCCGAAGGCTTACCAAGATGATTATATTCACATTACAAAATTATTATGATCTAATGAACCTAAACGGAGTAAGAACGTTGGGAAAAGTAGCTGAGAACATTTACTTCACGAAGCATGAACGAACATGTACAAGCTTACGATAATAAGCATGTAACGAGAATACTGTTTAGAGGAATATAAGATACTAGCGACCCACCCCAGCTTCGCACGGTGCAATAATGATATTAAAATTTTCCACTATTTAGTGGATCTTATTATACATAACTATAAACATTTCTTTGCTACCCGTGAAAAACCACGTCCAAATCTGTTGCGTAATTTTAAATATTAAGGAATACATACCTAGGGATGTAGGGACTGATAAAGTAACTTAGTTTTTTAAAAATGTAGGTATGTATGACGACAGAGGATACCTTCTAGTTGTGCCATAAGGTAAAAAGAGTCCAGTTTGGATAAATATACAATTTGATGGCAAAATTCGAAAAATCAACACATTTTTTTAATTATACTGCTACTTTTAGGTTCTGGTATTTTAAAAACATTATTGTAAGACAAAATATCCAAAAGTATGAGATATATATGAGAGCATAATCTCGACTGTAGACTTTGTTGATACGCTGCCGCACAAAATGTCGCGAGCTGGATTCCCATACTGCAACTCTTTAAAATATTTTGTTTGTGGGTCTGGGTATGATGTGTTTGTAAACGAACACATTTTTACAATCCTAAGAGACAGCAATAAAAATAATCATAAATTATTAATTAACCTTTTTTGTAGCACTAATCTACACTGAAGATTTCTTAATGTACAGTATAATTTTGTTGAATAACTGCTGCATTGAAGATAGAAGTGCAACTTTGGCTAAAATTTTCGACTCAATAGGCTCTATTAGTATGACATCACGAACTCAAGGCAAGTACTCTTTATTACGTCCATTTTACACTAGTAATGTTATTAGTCTTAAAAGTTGTCAAGAGGTATTGAGATTTTTTAGAAAATCACATAAAATGAAACGGTATGTTTTTACAAGAATCGATTTACGGCTATTAGATTGAATTTATTTTTTTATTTTTCTTAAGACTATTGTTTGAAATATTTAAAGTGTGTTTACAGCTAACTGCATATCCAAGATTTTGGATTGAACTTAAATTGTACTATAAGACTTATACCATGTCAATGGAATCAAACCATGAATAAATTATTACAAACAAAAGTATTAAGTACTGTTTTAGTAAAAACTTGATCTATAGTCAATTTCCTCACAAATAATATATTTTTTCCACGAAAGAGAAACAGATAGGAAACGTTCTGGCAATTAACGTTATTCGTCAAAGCGCTAGCTTTTCAGTCATTCCGAATTCAGTACCATTAGGCAAATGCAAATTTCGCAAGATTACTTGTATAAAATAAAATAAATCTACGAAGCTTGATACCCTTGAAGCTTCGGTAGATGATCAAAATAAATCAAATTATAAGTAAAGAATTTTAATAAAACATTCTCCTTTCGATGAAGCAAAGACTTTACACAACCAACTGATCAGAAAACAATATTAATAAAGTGAACCGTAAACATATTGATTTAACAAACTTCAGTATTAAAACAAGCTAACATAAACAAATCCAGAAACAACATATTTATACTGAGGAAACTTAAATACACGAACACGATCAAAGCCTAGCGAACTTACTTTATAGATCATAACATGGCATTACCAGTACAACAGTGTAAACAACGAAAATGATTGTGCTAACATAAGAAAACGTAACTTGAACAAGCTTCCTTGGAAATTCAATATTGGAGTTGGTACCAAAATCAAATTATACTACTAACAATAATGCTGAACTTTGATGGGGAGGCGCCAAGTTTTTGCTTCATTGTAACAAGCGTATGTCAGACATAAATCTGAATTTATATGCTTTCACTTTCTTTCTGTATGATACATTGCTTTTTAATAACAATGCAATTATTAATAGAGAGCAATCTTTAAATATTTAACATAAATATAACAGCTTTGAGGGCCATGTTTTGGTAGAAATAGTCTGTTTCAATCAGAGTGATACCACGGCCTCATAGAAAACCAGCATAAAACAAATGCTTGCATTGTATTTCGCCGTGTGAGTAAGGTTAACATAGGCCTTTTCTTCCTTCTTCCCTCATCCCAAATTCCTAAATCCATCATCTTTCAATCCTAAGGAATGGGAAATATCAACATCTTCATCATAATTTTACTGGTATTGTGAGCTTAATTAGTACCGAATACATAATTTTTCACACAAAGTATGACAATAATAATTTCTTATTGACAAGCTGTAAAGTAAAGAATAAAAATATGTCTGTTTTCCTAGTAATCTATATCAATACTTGAGACAACAATCTTAAACATCACTTTAGCTAAATGACTTAATAATGTATTGTCTCTTAATGATTTATTCAGATTACGTAAAGTACCATCAATTATATGATATGTATGAAGAAAATAATGAAGCAATTCAACAAAATGCCGAAATTGAAAATCAAATCATCAATCATCCTCGTTTTATTTGATGTTTGAATTTTGAATAAAATTAAAGGTCTTTGTTACAAAACAGAGAGATATGCATATTTATGACAGTGTGTTGCAATTCTATCTATGATATTTTATATTTGGCCCAAATAGCTAGCCTACCCTATGGATGTCGCGAATGGATAGATTTTGTTTGGTATAGAAAACAATAAAGGATGTCTTTTAGCAGTCTTCCGCTTAATAATGATGACGATTTCAAAAAAATATTTGTAAGGTTAATTCAGCAACACACAACAACCTTAGTATTTCATAAACCGATAAAGCCCAAAAAGAATGTAAATTATAGAAAATTTGGATGTAATAAGTTAAACTGATTACCACAGTTAAACATCAAATGACTTAGAATATCGCTTAAATACCGAAAACATAAAACTCAACAGCGAAAAATCCACAATCATTTGTTGCCTACCAGAGCATTTTTTTGCACAAACAGGCTTAATCTAATTTTAATGGGGAGTTCTTGAGATAGGACAAGGATCCTTAAAGTGGTTGAAACACGAAGTAATCATTTTTTCATTGTACGCAACCCTAATCAACCTGGGCTATTTAATTACTTGGAAGCAAAAAATTCAAACCTACATCCTCTTACATTTAAATGGCTAACCCGCTTAAATGCCCTAAAAATGTCGGAGATAATTACACAATTCATCATTGTCATGTGGCGGAATATATATTTGGATGAACATATATCCGGTTTTTTGTTAAGAACCTAACCTTTTTATTTTACAGGTGATTTACAGGATGGACAAATTGATAATTTAATTATATGGAATAAAAGAATAATTTTCTTTAACAAACAAATTTTGCTACTATTAAACATATCATGCTGATCTTTAAAACTTTTCCCATTATGTAAAAATAATTTGACCTTGATTTATAACGGGACATGTTTAGAAATATACATATGAGCCCAGGCAGATAACTATATATATACCGACAGTTAAAATCTTCAGGGTTTTTTTTTGGAGGGGCAAAATTATCAAGTGTCTTCTGGTATCCTAGGAATGGCGAGATAGTGTTAGACTCTCACTGACCCAATACCAGTACCCCCTCAATTTTCAAGAATAATCTGCAGAGAGTCGGGTTAGTATATTAACATAGATGGAAAGGAAAAGTATGAACACATTTTCATGCTCTGCCTTTTCGAAGTAAACCGTTTAGAGGAAATAGAATACGGAAATTGACAAGGTTGTAACCATACAACCCCATTAGCCATCATGGGGTACGAAAGGCTCAGGTCGTGTTAGAAAAAATAACGTAAGTTTGTATTTTACAAATATACTTCGGTGATGTCTCATTTATAAATGCAATAACAAACAATCTGGTAACAAAAAATCCACGTATGTCGTTCTGGCTTTAAGCAATAATAATAATCAACAAACGACAGTCAAAATTTTATCTTATTTCATCATAATTTATGTCAAACGAATTTCTAGGAAGTAAGCAGAAAATTAAACCTAGAATGCAATTTCGAATTGCTTTCGTAACGTGATAAATTAATCAAAGAGTATTTTCTGAGGATTCTGCTCCTAGCTGTCGTAGCAGGGCTACGACGTAGCTAGCTACGAATTGCTACACTTTATGAATTGTTTTCTTAACAATTCAATATTTTTACTTATTACATATATGTAAAAGTATTAAAATTATTGTATATATTTTGAAAGGATTTAAAACCTAAATAAATGAACTTAATCGTCTACTCGCTGTTTTTATTTTGAAGATAAATATTATATAATAATATATAATGTATTGTATCAAATACGTACTATCACCAAATAATGAATAAAATATCTATTAGAAACGAAACCAAATTTATAACAACGCATAATTTTAATAAAATGCATTAGATGACCAGGTATTACTAGGACATGAAATATTCTAGAAAGAATATTCGTAACTCTGACACCGTTAATAAATCACAAACCCACTTCTGTTAGCGCTATTTCGCTCCGACCTTCAAAGACAAAAAACCTAGCTTGAACAAATAAAACAAAAGCTATTATCTTAATAGAGGAAACTCACATTTAGCAATTCCCAACGGCTATGTATATCGTTGAGCAAAAATTCCAGGACAACAGAAAGTCACTAATCACGAAATTGGAACGTAAACACCGAGATTCACTCGCGACCGATCGCGTTCGGGTATGGTCGGAAATTTTCCGAAGACGTCCGCTCAGTACGGCGGTCGGACGTCGAATGGTTGGCGTGCAGGTGTGAAGCTCGTTGCAGGAACAAGGCTGTCGCTCCAAAATATTCAGATAACGAGAATTTCTCTTATAACAACCCCATTCGTAATTATAGTACTCTATTTATAAATAATTGTTCGGCTTTCAATGGATTTTTGTACTATTACGTCAATCTATTATTAGAAAATCTTTAGTCTGATATGTTTTATGAGTGTCTTACATAAAAATCGTAGATTTAGTAAACCTATAAAATTCTTATTGTTGTGTGGGCGTGGATGGGTCATTTGGTATTTTTATCTTTTTTTTTTCTACTTTAGTTTGACCTCACTAATTTGTTTAACAAGGTTTATCTGAATACTTATGATAAATAAAGGGCTTGAGTGTTATGGATGGAAATGCAGTTAAATTATAAAGCTTAGGTTAATTCGTTCCATTCGACGTTCGCAGCAAAATAAATATTTTTTAAATTAAGTTCTCGCATTATAGTCTACTTAAATTTGTAAATTAATATAAAATAATAATAAACATTTTATACAAATCATTTTGATTTCAATTTAATTACTATAAATAAAGCCATGACACTTTCAATTAGTTATAATACATAGAAAGTTTCACTATCATAATGTATGTATTATGAAATTAAAACTGAAATATAAAATTAATAATCATTTTAATAACAGTTTTGTTAAAATAAAATTATTTGGAGTATCTATAAACTTAATATTAACCTTTACATTGTACAATGCGATTTTGATGTTTTTAATCACATTTTTTTCAATCCCCTTTGATACAAAGATGATTAATGTTGTTTATCCCATGGACCCTTTCATTTCCTCTTTAAAGCTATTAATATAAATTGTCATGGTGTGTTTAAAATCAACAAACTCCATTTTTTTTCAAGGTTAAGTGTACATTATTTAAGTAATTCATAGTTGTATTTAGAGGTAAGTAATTTGATCTTTGCGTTATTTAAAAAACTTTTTTGAATCTGCCTTCGTCTTTTGGGGGACTTGTAAGTTGTTGGACTTATTAGAGACACAACCATGAATTTAATGTGAAACCAGCTTAGCATTTATGGTCTTAAATGTGTATGTATAGAAAATTGAAGCGGTTGGTTGAATATACGTGTATCAGCTTTGAAATATAGTTGCAAGACTTGCAAGATTCCACTTCAGTAACATACATACATTGAAAGTCAAATACATTCTTATTAAAAGTTAACTAGCTATTATACTTAATTACTTGACTGAAGTATGGTGTTATATTCCATGTTTGATGATAAACTTTCGCATTAAACTTGAAAGTTGCATAAATTGTAATGATATGAATCGTGTTATGGTTAACACTATTCAAAAACGGAATGTTTACAGCATTTTCCAGTTACTACTCATAATTGTAAACCCGTTATATTGTATTTTTTAGAGTATATTTTTTATAAAGAAAAGCATAGTACAGACAAATTTTTCCTAATACCTCGTTAACTTAACTATACACGAAGACGTCTCGATTTTAGCGTAAAATGTTGTCACCATACTTTAAGGTTACCATAATTAATCCATCAACTTGGTTAATTAGAAATCTTAAGCTTAATTATTGCTCTTTTGATTATTGGGACTATTATAACAATATGAGTACCTACATATAGTTTTAGAATACATAAAAAAACTACGTTTAAAAAAACCGACTTCAAAAACAAAAAAGTGTCAAATAAGTAATTAAAATTGATATTTTAATACCACTCTTACGTACGCGAAGCTAATACTTTTAATATTAATAATAAAACACTATCAATTCTATGTTCTACCTATTCATAGGTTTGAAGTCGGTGCCAAGCCTAATACATAATATAATAAGCATGATACATTAGTACCTACACTCGCCGGGCGCGTGTGAATTTATTTGTTAGGATTTAAGAAATGTAGTACCGATTTTCTAACTTGATGGCGTTAGCGTAGAATCAGAAGTCTATATGGTTGCGTTACCGGCGAAACTGTATATAGCTTAGAAAGATACATATTTGGATGAATTATGAAAGTTTTCTCGTACTTGGTTGTTAAAAGTAGTAGTAGATAGAGCTACGTTGTTAGTTGTGGAAATTTCGTCTTTCAGCATTTAAACAGTCTTAATTCTCATTTTGTTTTATTCTGTTTAGGGCTTGGCACCGACTTCAAATCTATGAATAGGTAGCACATAGAATTGATAGTGTTTTATTATTAATATTAAAAGTATTAGCTTCGCGTACGTAAGAGTGGTATTAAAATATCAATTTTAATTACTTATTTGACACTTTTTTGTTTTTGAAGTCGGTTTTTTTAAACGTAGTTTTTTTATTTTTTACTTTTTAGTATCTGTTACAAGTTCTTCTGTAAACTACAGTAACATTTTAAATATAAATTAACATATTGAATAGTATATACTTTTTAAGTAGCTTTGTGTACCTAGGCCTACGAAAGGAGCCGCTCGATAAAAAAATATAGATCTCAAGAAACGGGAAAGTTCTCATCATCATCATCATCATCAGCCATTTTAATGTTCCCACTACTGGAACACAGGCCATCTCTCTAGGAAAGTTCTTAACAATATAAATTAAGTCCAAACACGAGGTAGCTACTGTAAACCGTTGAGGAGTTCCCTAGACTGTCCTTCGTCTTTATCATCTGATCCCTGATGACAGTCACAATTCATCTAGATGTAAAGTTCTTATCAAAACGAATTAATTAAGCTCAAACACAAGGAAGCTGCTATGAATCGTTGAGGAGTTCTCTCGACTGTCTCTCGGTTCCATCCGGAATTCCCTCGATGGTCAATGGTCTCCATCATCAGGTAAACTGCAGACCTTCAGTTGTTATAATACATACAAGTACAAAGTTTTCATCAATATAAATGAATTAAGTTCAAACACGAAGTAGTTACTGTAAACCGTTCAGGAGTTCCTTGAGCTGTCCTTCGTTCTCATCATCAGACCCTTAATGACAGTTACAACCAAGCCTGCTGCAAAGTGCTCGTCAATACGAATCATTCAAGCCCAAACACAAGGCAACTACTTGAAATAGTCAAGGAGATCCCTCGACTGTCTTCCAGCTCCAACATCTGGTCGACTTCGACCTTCGTCAAGTTGTAGTGTTGATAAAGGCCTACTTAAACATCATAGAAAAACACTACTCGCCCCTACAATTTTCGAAAGTTCCCCTCGGTTTCTCCAGGATTCCATCATCAGATCCTGACCTCATGACAATGGGACCAAATGGCAAGTATACCCTATCGAATAAAAAAAGAATTTTGCAAATCGGTCCAGGCGTCTTCGAGTAATCGGTGTACAAACATAAAAAAAAAAAAAAAAAATACTCGTCGAATTGAGAACCTCCTCCTTTTTTGAAGTCGGTTAAAAACTTGTCTCTAAAATTAAACTTTAATATAGGTGGTGAATAGCTAGTAGTAAAAAGGAATTTTACATTGTAATTAAATTTGGTTATCATATCAATAAACTGCATTAAAACGTTAATTATAATAGTTTATAAATTATATGCAGACGAAAACCAGTCAGTCAAAAATATCTATCTAAAATAAACAATTTATATGAAAATTTTTGAATATATTAATGTTTAAATTAAAATCCGTGCATTAAATATTCAATTTATTCCGATTCAATCAATCTGCTAAGAGCATTTGACATGTACGCAGTAATTAATCAAGGATTTAACGAGAGATCAATATCTAGCTAGCTTGTTGATCACACTGATGATTGCAGGAACTCCATGATGAAAAATAGACGCTTAATTCAGAATTACCTAGTAAAATAAAGTTTAATATAATTACCTCTACTTAATGGCTTACTTGTGCAACTTTTTGGTGAGATAATTCAATTATTATTGGCTCCGCTACTCATGTTCACTGCGTCATGACTATATCGCGCACTGTTACTCATGAATATGAGTCCCTCAAGTAGCCTGTAACTAGTCGAGTTGAGTGAGAATTTAATATGTCTGCCGGGATGAAGTTTATTTTATACGTGTCCATTGTTCGTGTGTTAATCATTATTCATTATTTATCTTCGATGGTAAGTCATTTATTATTATTTTTCAATTGAAATAAGAATCTTATTCACATTGATTATGCATACTAAATTATTTTCAAATTTAATGAAGAGAAATTGATTGCATTGTTTGTTCTTTTCTATTTTGCAAGCTCGCTCTGCGCAATATTCTCACTCGTCTATTTTTATATATGGGTACAATAATGTCTATTCAACTGGGTATTGGTGTGCTTCTAAATACATACATAATATTTAAAAGATTAACGATTGAGTTTCTTTCTCTTTCTTCTACATTAATTTGAATCTATGCTTTGGAACGAGCACCAAGCTTTACTGACAAATAGAATGACGGACTATTAATCTATTTTGACATAAAAAAGTACCTGTAGTGTATGGTTTAGTGAAAATAAATGATTATTGACTTTTGAATTTTAGGACCTGAATATATAATATTTTATATAGGATTATTGATGTTTAATAAGTTTTTCAGGATAAAGTTGGGGTAATTATATCTCCCCATGCTTCATTATTTGGCCTACTTTGCCGACTGTACTTCAATTATTATTAAGCGTGATATATCAAAGTTTCCATGCCACCAATAACGTCATGTAGTATTATTATTAGCTTTCTGCATATTAACTATCAGCATTTATTTCTCCGATACACAATAAGATATTTTACTTCGTAAAAATAAATTGATTCGATTTTTGAATACCACAAAATATAAATAAACACTACAATTTGATTTATTGATTTCACGATTTACGTAATCTTTTTTTAATTAAATTAATTAAATTAAATTTTTTGCAAAACTATTAACGTCAAAACACATAACCTCACATAAAAT